TGTTTTTAGGATGTACAAAATTAGCACAATATTTTGAATAATATTGAATCTAACAAAATGTTTACTTTTAAAAACATGGTATGGACTATTTGATATACAACTTCATGCTGTATTTTTAAAAATGTAGAAATGTAAATTCTGAACATAATGATTTGAGTCCAAGATCATTTGGCAGCATCCAGGTGTTATTTAGATTCTATCTTATTAGGGTTAAGATTGGAAGATGTGGAGAGACTGGCCCATAGAACTGACAAAAGTCGGACACAACTGAATGGATAACAACATCATCATCATCATCATCATCATCATCATCATCATCATCATCATCATCCTGTTAAGGTAGAGTGAAATCTCATCTTTCCAAGCCAATGTAAAAAGTTCATATAATCAATATTGCATGGGCATTAAAATATAGTCTAGCTATGCAGCCTCCATATTCAGGACTAATAGAAATGTTGGCCAGTAGTTTCCCCTTCCACTCTGAAAGATGGGAGATATCGGATAAAAATATAGTGGGAAAACACATCCATCCCTTTCTGCTTTTTGTAAGTCAGTCCTTGGAATAAGGCAGTTCCTCTGCCTTCAGATCCCCCTCTATCTGGTTGCTTGTTTGGTGAGTATCTGTAGTGAATTTTTGAAATTGTTTTCTCTTGGAGACAAATCTTCTCTTTATATTTATATCACTAAAGGTGTTCTACTTTTAAAGCAATTGCACTGTGAAGAAAATTAAGATAAAGCTCAATTAAAGCTGCAGCTTTGGTACTTCAGGTATTTGTCTTAACAGGATGCATTACTTTGTACTTCTGCCCAGTCTTTCACTTACTGAGCACTTTGACCTGTAGGTTTAAAGGACAAAGTTCTAAGCTTATAATTTAACCAAGTCCTTAATCATAATGCATACATAGTAAAGCATTCTTGTGCCAATTGCTTCTTGTTATAGGTTCATATTCCAAATGTCAGACAGATGTACTGTATATTAAAGATCATTTTTCCAAACAGTCTGGTCAGTACTAGTAAGCTTTCGAAAGGAGAATTATTTAGTTTTCTTTAAATATTATTTCATTGTAGTTGCAGCTACAGGAAAAAGAGTGACATTAAGTCCTGTATTTGCATGTGTGTTTTTCTGTATAGTGATGCCTCCATTGTTATAAAATAAATCCACCTGGACTATATGGAGTTTGTTTTGTTTGCTTTAATCAATTTTGATAAACCCCCATCCCTCCCCCAAAAAACGTTCTCTTCTGTAAAGATTCTATCAGTTGCTATTAAAGTCTTTCAGGCCAGAATGATGATGTTATCCATCCCACCACATCTTCCAATCTTGCACTACTTTGATTTTTTCTATGCTCTGGCTGGTGTCAGCTTTGATGGTGTCCAGCCACCCATATTCTTTGACGTCCTGGTTTCCATTTACCACCAACTCTTCCAGACATAGAGGAAAACGAAAGAATAAACATTCAGGCCATAAAGTGAGATATAAATACTTTCAGGTGAAAAACTTGTAGTTATCCAAAGTTGATGATGGACAACTTGTCATGCTGGCCATTGTGACGGGCAGGGGTGGGCAAATGTGGTTCTTTTACAACCTGTGGACTTCAACTCCCAGAATTCCTGAGACAGCCAAGCTGTCTCAGGAATTCTGGGAGTTGAAGTCCACAGGTTGTAAAAGAGCCACATTTGCCCACCCCTGGACTGGGACTTCTGGGCTCTATAGGTTTCTACCAGTGGTCTTTATGAACTGAAGTATCAGAACACTAATCCCCACTGATGACCACATTTGGGGATGGGGAAGTAATTTCTGGCTGATCGGCTTAAGAGCTATCTAGGATTGATCCACACACACCCAACTCTTCACAAAATTTGCTAATAATATAGTAGTTTATCATAGATGTGCTTCTGTGCCAAACTGATGAATTGTGAACATACAGTGAAACGTCTAGTTCAAGCTTAAGAAATGCTTAAGATGTTGATGGTTCTTCAGAAGACTAGCAAATGATTAAAATATACTGGTATTGCCTGTTTGCAACATATAATAGATAAAGGATCAATTTAGTCTGGTAAAAATTGATAATTTTTATAATTTCTACTAGAATGTGATCCATATTACTTTTGGTTTTGGATATATTTTTTTAAACATGGCTAGTTTATCTAAATAATTTCAATTTCTTTTTAGGTTTTTATATAAAAAAATTAGTATTTCAGAATCAAGTTCTCTGGACAATCAAATGGAATAAAAAGCCAAGGATAAGCTAATAATTAGCATGAGGGGAAATCTAATGCAGTGTATATCAAGCCAACATCTGACTGTACAGTACATTTTCTACCCACAGAGAATGATTAATCATGAAGCTAATCACTATGCACTATGACAAGCATTTATTGCCTTTACTCTGGGATAATTCAGTCATTAAAATCAAGTGGCTTTCAAATCTTCCTAAAGGCAGAGCAAAGGTTTCAGGGTATTCAGCAATAAAAGCTAAAACAGAAAATTCCATGTATAGTTTGAAAGTGGAACAGATCTTAAACTTATTAAAGTGAAAAAAGAGTTATCAGCACTGGATAACCGAAGAATAATGAGCAGAAGTATAAAAGAGTGACAGTAATAGCCTTCAACAATCCTGATCATATTGGTTGTTATTGATAGCAAGAGAACTCCAAATAGTTCTATCCAGACTTAAGAATTTTAAATTCTCATCCTGAGAGAATTCCTGCAGCTGCAAAGAGAAGAACAAATACAGCTGCTGGGCACAGAAGAAACTCCTCCTTGCACATATGGTGAAAAGGATTTAGAAACCAGTTTCTAATACAAATCAGCTCCTGTTGGAAAGGGACCAATGAATTCTGTTTATCTGTTTGTTGATCCACTTTCAGCCTTGCTCATACCACTGCAACTGCATAATTATTTATATATTTTAATTTTATGAAAATAGTAAAAAGATTGTAGTTCTTTTTAAAACTACTCTTATGAATTGGTAGGAATATAAGGATTAAAAGGCTTCTTTGTAAGTCAGTGTGTTACGGTTGTATTTTATACTAAGGAAAACCAAATATGAATTATAACGCTGATGACAGTGCTGAGAATTAGTTGCTATACAAAAGCCTCTCCTCAGCATCATTAGTTTTCCCATACAGATCATGTTTACCCTTAAACTAGAACTATAAATTGGTTTTACTTGCACAGGTAAGGAACACTAAGGTGGTCCAGAAACAACCAGAGAGATTCTCTAATTGCTATATCAATGTTTTTAAGCAATTTTGGACTCACTTTTCATTAATTTGGTTGATTCCAATAAAAGTATATCACCCTTATGGAGTTTTGATTCTTTTTCTAATGGACCAATAGAATTATGGCTTCTGTTTTTTAATTTAATGGCATTTAAATCACATTGAATCAACAATCCCCTTTTTGAATCTTCAATTTTAATTATTGTGCATGAGAGTTACTAGGAGTCAATACCATTTCATTTGTTATAAGCACAAATGAAATGGTCTTAACAAAAAATTACAATGAAACTGATGATTAGAACTGAGAAAACAGAAAGACCCTTTTTGCGGTTTTTAAATTGCCTCAAGATGGCAACAGAATTGCCTATGGTCTGCAAAACTCATCTAAACAGGAGAAAGTATTCTGGATCACAACAGTATGGGCAATATTTAGCCACTAGAGGGCAATATTTAAATGAGAATATACAATGAAGATATAACCAATTGATATTTTCTATGGCAAGTATAAATAAAAGTATACATAAAAGCAGTAGTAGACAAACCATTGGAATCCCAAAACAAAATCCTATGGCTATGCTCTGTCAAACCAGCCCTTGCATATTTTACCAACAGTTTCTGATAAAATGGTAAACAACTTGTTTTCTAAAGATTTGGCAAGTGTTTCACTTTTAAAGTGAGTTTGAATTCTCTCAAACATCAAGTTGCATGTCTTGTTCTATGCTTGATGTGGTTTAGAACCATCGAATATGTATATCAGTGGGTTTATGGATTCCGCCAAAGCAATAAAATATGTAGTCCTGATTAGCGTATTTCCATGCTGACTGGGAATTGAACTGTAGAGCCTGTAGATTCAGATAGCCCTTCTGAGCGGAGACCAACTCGGTCATTTCAGAGATCTTAGAAAAGGATACATGCAGGGCGTTAGCAAGACCAAAATGGGACCGTTCGCACAGCACGGGGCAGGCAAAACTAGCGCTCAACCGCTTTCCCCACCTTCTCAGAAAGGCTGCCGGGGATCCTCTCCCTGAGATAAAGAACTGTAATCAAAAAGCAAACGGGCAGGATGGCTATCAGAAAGCGATCCACCCTCTGCCGCCCACCCCCTTCCAGCGCAGCCACAGTTAAAGATCGGGCTTTGCACGGCTTCCGCTCCATTTCTCACACCCCAACCTCCCCTCCTCCCCCCCCTCGGATTATTAGGTGTTCGAAAAGCTCCTTGCTCTGGGGGGGAGAGCTGGGTGGGGTATTGCCAATCCAAGTAATATCGGGCGGAGGGTCTATATCTCCAAATCATACTGAGTGGCCCGGGTTGTTCTTAGGACGGGCTTCCTTTCCCGGTTGCTTCGCTGCCTCAGGCCAGAAACCCCTTTTTTAAATCCGGAACCAGCCGAGAGTGACGGACCAGAGAGCTGCCCTTTCGCTCCCACGCCTTGAGCCAAGGCAGGCGGCTGCCATCTGAGCAGAGCCGCCGTCCTGGCCACTCGAAGGACGTTAATCTTCATCTCCCGAAAGGGGAGGGGGGGTGTTAAAGGCCGCTCCTAGGTTGGCTTCCCGGCCCCGATCAAAGGTGGCAAAGCAGCAGGGGAGGTCCGGGTTTTGCAGGCCAATCCCAGCAGCCGTCTCTCCTCCAACCGCCCCGTTGGCAGAGAGGCCGAAAGGCGCCCAGAGCCAAACCCGCTGCCTCCACCTCCCGGGACTTCTCCAGCCACACCCTCCGCCGTCAGAAAGGGCAAGGAGGTGGGGTCCGAGAAGCGATGTCGATATAAAGGGCCGTGGCGGCACCTCGCCGTCAGGTTTTCCTTTTCAAACGCACGTGTGCGATCTCGGGCTCTCAAGCGACGGGAGCACAGCTTACCAGTCCGAAGGCGCGAGTGACATCGGGGGGCCGAGGAACGTCCGGGGAGGCCCACAGGTCAAGGAACGAGCCGCACCGACGGCCGCTTAAGCTTCCCACCTTCCCTCTGAATTCTAGCTTACCTCGCCGACCCGAGAGTTTGCAATGAGCGCCGCCACCCTGGACCCCTTGGACTCGCTTTCGTGCTACAGAACCTGGTCTCTGGAGCCCGCCAATTTCTACGACGCCAAGGCGGGTGAAGGCAGCGGCGGCCTGAGTCCTTCCTGCAAGGCGAGCAGCGTGAGTGTCACCCAGGCGAGCGAGGAGTCCGGGGGGATGTGCTCGGCTCCGAGCAGCGGCAGCCGCGACCTGGCGGAGCTGAGTGCCGCCGCGCCGGCCATGTACGAGGACGAGAGCGCCATCGACTTCAGCTCCTACATTGACTCCATGGCGGCCGTGCCGAACTTGGAGCTGTGCAACGACGAGCTCTTCGCCGACCTCTTCAACAGCAACCACAAGGGCGGCGAGCGCAGCGGGGGCTACGGGGATTACCTGCCGCCGCCACAGGCGCCGCCGCCGCCAGCGTCCGGAGGGAGCGCCTTGGCCAGCCTGCTGCACGCCAGCGTCTTTCCCGGCCCGCTCCGGGGCGCCGTCAAGCAAGAGCCAGAGTGGGGCGAGGAGGCATCGAGCTCGCTGTTGCCCTCCCAGATTGCTACTTGCGCCCAAACCATTGTCAACTTGAGCGGGCAGCCCACGCCGCCCACCTCCCCCGAACCTCCGGGCAGCGCCTCGCCGTCCAGCTATAGCAGCCGCTCTTCAGCTTCGTCGTCGTCGGGGTCCAAGGAGCGGTCGGGCAAAAAGGGCGTGGACAGGTTCAGTCCGGAGTACCGGCAGCGGCGGGAGCGCAACAACATTGCGGTGCGCAAGAGCCGCGACAAAGCGAAGCGCCGCAACCAAGACATGCAGCAGAAACTGGTCGAGCTCTCCGCCGAGAACGACAGGCTGCATAAGAAGATCGAGCAACTCAGCCGGGACTTAACTAGCCTCCGACACTTCTTCAAGCAGTTGCCCAACGCCTCTTTCCTGCAGCCTTCCTCGGTCACGGACTGCCGGTAACCGGCTGCAGGCAGCGCCGCCACGGCCGCCCATACGCGAGAGACTTTGAACTTCTTCATGAATACCTCAGCGCGAGTCGCACAAACTGCAGCGGGGGCTGCGGGGGAGGGGGAGGGAGGGCCAGACTAGAAGACTCGGGCTGCCCCGGGGACTGTGCCAAAGGTACGCGGAGGGAGGCGCTCTTTGCCTCGCCTCTTCCCTCAAGCAAGAAACCTAGCCTGGAAGGCCGGACTGAACTACGCCGGAATGGGGGGGTGGGGACAACAACCTGTGTGCGTGCGTGTGTTTTGCCTTTTTTTTTTTTTTGGAATGGGCTAAGCTTGGGTCTTTTTAACCACAAAACTTGCCAAAGTTTTTTTTTTAAGCGAAAGAGAAGCTAAACGTCTTTCCTCCTAAATTATTTTTATAATGATCATCCTCCCTTTCCCCTTCCCCCTTTGTTGATGCAGCTATGGTACTTTGTAAGAAACAATGATTTTTCAGACTTTTCAAACACTTTTTATTATAAATAGTATGAGGAAAAAGTAGACTGAGCATGCTCAAACTTTTATATAAAATTTTTACAGCATTTCTAAAATAAAAATCCCTTGAAATGTATTTGACTTCGTATTTGTTGTGATGTGAACATGTACAGAGGGAATGTAGCAAAATATAAGTGTACCATCCAGATGAATGATAAAGTGCCATGGTTAGTATTTCCTCAAGGACATTTAAATGTCAATTACATAGTTACTGAATACTTTTAAAAGTGCAAATACAAGCAGAAGATATATAGGTGGTGTGATAGAATAGTTAATGGATAATGTATGATTCACTCTTGGACATAGTTAGCTTCATACAGGATCCAACCACCTAAAGGAGGGTCCCAGATACCTGGAAAGGTGCCTCACTGAATTTGTTACAACTTCAGACTGTTAAGAAGACCTTTATTTCCATAGGTAAACATTCCATTCATATTGAGATGCATAAAAATAATCAGGTAATACAAATTTACCTATATGTCCAAAAAGACATAGTATTTGCACAAAATATTTTGAGCCAAATGCCATAGATAGATTAATGCAGAGTATTGTGAAATTGCAATGCAATAACAAATTGGGTTTAGGCATGAGATTAACAGGCTGAGAAAAAAATTCTAACCAGAGTAAGTAATTAGCACTGGAAAAATATTCCAACTGGTAGAAAAAGATCAACTGTGAGAACAAAGCTTCAAAAATTAGTCTAATTTAAGGATTTTTTCCACAGGAAAAAATAACGGTTATTTTGCCTTATTTGCAAAACACATTGGTCTTTCTAAAACCAAAAGTACATGAGAGAAGGGTGGGATTTAGAATGGTGATGTTACAAGATAATTCCACTGCTCTGATTTACACACTTAAAAGGTTTTATAAACCTTTTTAAGATCACCTGAAACTTTATATATAATATATCACATGTATTTTCTTCTGCAGCAAGATACAAAGAGAAGGCATAACAGCCATGACTTCCAAAGCTACCTATAAAGTTCAAAATAAAAGTAGTCCTTGATTTATGACCACAACTGAAGCCAAAATTTCTGTTGCTAAGCAAGGTAGTTAAGTGAGTTCTGCTCCATTTTATGACCTTTTTGTCACAGTTAAGCAATCATTGCAGTTCTTAAGTGAATCATGCAATCATTAACTGAATCTGGCCCCAGAACAGCACAACTATTATAAATACATGCCAGTTGCCAAGTGCCTGAATTTATGCTGCAACGCTTGCAAGTATGAAAATGGTCATAAGTCACTTTTTGCAATGCTGTTGTAACTTTGAAAGATCACTAAATGAATGGTTGTAAGTCGAGAGCTATCTACAGACTTCAGGTAGTCCTCAACTTACAACCATTTGTTTGGTGACTATTTGAAGTTACAACAGCACTGAAAAGTGATTTATAACTATTTTTCACACTTAAAAGTTGCAGCATCGCCATGGTCGTGCGATCAAAATTCATGTACTTGGCAACTGGCTCATATTTGTGAGAGTTGCAGTATCCAGAGTCATGTGATCACCTTTTGCGACCTAGCAAACAAAGTCAATGGGGAAGCCAAATTCACTTAATAACTGCAGTCATTCACTTAACTATGGCAAGAAAAGTTGTAAAACAGGACAAAATTCACTTAACAGCCTCACTTAGCAACAAAAATTTTGAGCTACCTGTACCATGATTGATTTAAACTTCATTCTCTGCCTTTCTGTCTATCAGGGTGTCCTCAACAGAAAACATTTTGTTCTCTACAGCAGCTAAATTTATTTCCCTTGACTGTCACCTATTCACCCACTAAATACAATTATCTAGAGTCAACAGAACCATTATTTTGAGAAATTAACAGCTCGATCATATATATCTATATCTATCATGTTTTTCTATAGAGATTTCTCTCTCTCTCTCTCTCTCTCTCTCTCTCTCTCTCTCTCTCTCTCTCTCTCTCTCCTACATCTTCTAAACACAAAAATCCAGATCCAGCTGCTGAGTACGGGAATATTTTATGCAAATAACAGGAAATCCCATGCATGCCAAGTTCTGTCTAAAAGAAATTACAGGAATTTGAATCAGATACTAAATGATTCCAGTGTTTCAGCATCAAATAATAATTTCATCCAGAAATTGAAATGTACAAGCAGAAGGTATAACCATTTTAATTACAATATATTAATCTACTTTATAGAAAAGTTTTAAAAAATACAAGATCTAAATAATTCTTTATTTAAATAATGATTATTGCTGACATATGCCTGTGTTCATATATACTCTTCTTTCATAATATTTAATTGTAATGATAAAAAATACATGCTACGTCAGGTCAAACATACTGTATCTGAACACTTAGCCTACATTTACATGCGAGTCAATTAAGAAAATGTACCTCTAGATTAACAATTTGGAAGTTAATTTCAAAACCTTTCAAAAACTTACATTTAACATTCAGTTAGTCAAAAATTATTTCAACCCCTGAACTCATTACAGAATATAACCTCCAGAACAAAAAACAAAACGAAGCCACTGCTGGAAAAAAATAGGTTTCCTTTTAAGTGCTATATGAGGACCAGACATCTGTGTATGTGAATTCCATTAATTTCTTGAGAAAAGATTTAAGAATGTGCATTTAACTCCTCTCATTGAAATGACAATTGCACCTGAATTGAGATTTGTTCATGGTTACTGTTCCCTGACACATGCCTAATGTGAGTATTTTTAAAAAAGGCACAACAGTTTGATTTCAAAAGCAGCATAGAAGAGCTGAGTACAGTTACAAATATGTTAGAAAAATCATAGACAGAAGCAGACAATATTCCCTTCAGTTCTTTCAGGCCTCCGAGAGAACAATTTCTTCCAATCCAATACAACTAGATGGGTGGCTGGTTATAGATTGGACATAACAATTCAAAAACCCCACCTCTTTCCTCAGCACACTCGTTACTTCATAACTCTGCAATGATAAAGCACAGTCATTGAAACAAATAATCTTGTACATTTTGTCCTAGCCAACATACCGCTGAACACTCTTCAGTAAAGAAAGTTCTTAAGGGCTTTTTTCCTTATTTGCTTTTTTACTGCTCCAAACTCCCTGTAATCCTAACAGTTATGAGAAATAATTTTATTAAAGAAATTCAAATAAAAATATCTCTGAACCACTTAACCGAAAGCCAAAATTTCTACAAAACTATTCCAGGAATTTCAATAGAGCATTAGACCAAGAGATCACCCACTTAATAATTATATTTTTATTCAAATGCCAATATAGTCAAAATATTACAAATGGAACAGGTTATCCAGAATATGCATCTTTATGAACCCTAGCTGAAAATGGTGGGGGTTGAGAACTAATACATCTAGAAGGCACCAAGTTGGGTGGGGTGGGAGGTGTCATCACTAGAATTATGAAGTTGCCATTTTAAATGCACATACCCCATCATCCATGGTTGCTGATTCTAGAAGTGAAGAAATAGACTTCTGTAATAGCTGTTATAACAGAAAGAATAAAGTATTATAATTATGAAATCAATAATGTACTCAGTTTGTATCCCTAAGATCTAAGTATTTTATTACCTGCAGCTGTTATCTGTAATTTCACAGAAAAAAAAAATTTGGTTAAGACCTTACACATAGTAATCTCTATTTAATTCTACCACAGATTATCTAGAATATTTGTTTGCCTATTTGCTTGCTTGCTTTACACCTTGTCTCTATGCTCTGGGAAACATAACTATGGTATCAAACACAGATAGGTGGTAATATAAAAATAGATGTCTTTCTTCACCTAGAGCTGATAATAAAATACTGAATTAGAACAATATTGTTCTTATAATACCTTGATTTTTACTGTAGAATTTGATTGGGATTGGCAACTCAAAAAGACTTCCAGATGCATCTTGATAACTGGTGAAGTTACAACTTCACAGCAATGGCTGCAATAGAGTAACCCTCTGAAATACATGAGAAAAAGGCCATTTATATCTATCCCCAAATTTCCATGTCAAAGTGTGCTCATAGACCTCTTCACTTTGCACTGTAAGATAGAACATATATTGTTCAAATATTCCCAGCTTCCTTGATTTAATGTGTAACAATCCTTTGAGAGATGAGATAAAAAATAATGAAAAAAACACAAGTTTCTCAACTTATGTTCCAGTGTCAATATTAGGAAAAACGTTTAAGTGAAGATGTTAACCTTTTACAACTTATCAGTTGTTTTGGTAAAATGACAATCACTTTAACCATTTCTGAAAACTGTTCAAAAGATTGCAAGAAGATTTTTTAAAAAAACCTGGCTTGGAAAGGAGCATATAATGTACATCTGGCAGAATTAAAAGATGTGAAAACAGTAAAATACACAATACTACCGATCCTGCTCTGCTAATCCCCTGCTTTATACTTATTAACAATCAATTATACATTTAGAAAGTTTGTGCTAGCTTATTTTTAAAAGATTATCCTATTCTTTGGCTTTAAAAAATTCCCAGTACAGTTTCTATATGATCAATACAATAAACCATCACTATGCACCAGCCTACAGTATGAACAGTGTCCATAGTATCCTGACATTAAAATTTAAGTGCAATTTTAAAAGTTAGTGAAAGTGAGAATCTCATAATTATGACAAGACCTCAATGGAAGTGCCAAAATCTTGCAAGTCTCTTCTTTCTTTAGGAGCTAATGTGCCTTTCATTGGAAAAAAAACCTGTTGATTTCTGAATTAAGAGACAAAAAGGAAAAGGAAAAAGGAATTAGGAGAAGAAAACCAAACTGAGACATCATATTCTTACAAGATATACAGTAATTTTTTTACTGTAACTCAGGACATCAAAACCAAGGAAAGAACAGCATTGCTTTCATTGTCATGAAGGCTATAGCAAAGATACTACTTGGATATAATACAATCAATTTTGCAATAATACCTATTAGACTTTGTGAAGAGGTTTTTTAATATGATGGTTATCAATGTTATATTCTAAGCACTCATGCAGAAGAAGAGGGGGTTGGTAAGGTTTATGGTCAAATTCAATTTGAAATTAACAGAATATTTAAGCAAGTTATTTGTGGTTGGAGATTGGCATGCCAACGTTGGAAATTAAATTAGAGTAAAATATTAAAAATATTAAATGTAATGGCCTAAGAAATAGAAAGATGAAGATGGAAAGAAACATGGAAAACAAGGAAAGTCTTCTTTAAAAAATCTCCAAATCCAATGAAAGTTCCAAATTTGCTAAAAAAATACAAATGGACAGTAGTAACTGATTCCAAGAACATTGAGCAAAGATGGAAGGAATATACTGTAATTCAGTAGAGATGTGAACATCCATAATAATTTGTATAGGATATATTTAGGATATACTTAGGATATATTTCCTGCTTACAAAAACCTCTAGTATTAGAAGATGAAGTTATATCAGCACTCCAATCATTATCAAATTGGAAGACTATAGGAATTGATAAAGTATCTATATAAAGTTGGCAAACAATCAAAAAAGAATCTGTAAACTTTTAAGAGTTATCTAATATTGATTAGAGCTTTACATGGAAAGGCTGAGGGACAAGAGACATTAGTGCTGATTCACACTGAATAATTGAAAAAGGAAAACAATACCAAGAAGAAGTCAATACATGCTTTACATATTATAGAAATATTTCAGTTATGTCAAACTTGTCAACTGTGGGATGTGCTTAGGAAAATGGTAACCCAAGAACATCTTATAGTCCTCATGAGAAACCTTTACAAGATCACGAAGCCACAGTTTGGATGGAACATGGTGAAACAGACTGATTCCTGTTCAGGAAAGGAGTGACATAAGGTTGTATACGCTTCCCTTATACTAAATATGTATTAAGGGAAGCTGGATTGAAAGATGATGAGCAATAGGAATATTCTTACTGTTCTGATGATACTATGTTGATAGCTGAAAATTTAAAATTAAAATCAAGGAGCATAGTGAAAAAATAATGACAATAAATACATCAACTAGTCTTAGAATTAGACACTTATATGATATGGCTGTATCTAGTTTTCTTGTGATAGTCTTATGTAAATAAAAGTTGTACTGTCAAGAAGTAGAATAAAAGAGTATTGATACATTGAATGCTAGTGTTAGAGAAGAGTCCTGACAATATCACAGATAACCAAAGAACACACAAATGGATCATAAAACAAATCAAGGCTTTTCATCATGGCACAAATGATCCAGCTCTAATTATTATATTTGGGTACATTATGTAAACATTTATAGAAGTCCATAATACTGGGAAGGTAGAAGAGAAAATTGGATGATCAGTAACAAGGTGGATGGACTCAATTAGCAGTGGGTGCTATGCTGGAAAATAATAGGACCGGTTGAGGGAAAGCTTCTTGAGAAAAAACCTATGAGGTTACTAAGACTTAGTACATAATCATAATTACATATGATTAATTACATGATTATGTAACTATCATTGGACTGATTGACTTAATAGTACATAATCATAATTACATAGTAATTCTAGTATTGACCAATTGAAATGGAACAGCTGAAAGGCAAAGTATCTTAGAATCTGCCTCCATCGCTTTCACTGTGGTGCCAAGGAGAATAGACTGCAACTAAAAAAATATGAGACATCTTGTTCCCAATAAGATTCAAGTCTGAATCTCTATTCTGTGACTATCAAGAACCATTCACAAAACCTGTTTTCTAAATCACTTTAATTTTTAAACAGACATTCTGTGATGACAAATTATAGTTTCATGAAGTAGACATTTTTGGTTTCTCTTTAAAATACTTCTTTTTTGCAAGACTTAATGAAGTTAGAACTATTCTTATCAGGTGTAGCACATTATATTGGCACAAATACTCAGACACTTGTACTATGTTCTATATAAGTGCCCAGGAATTAAGAATGTTTCTACTATTGTAATTACTATTACTATAATTATAATCAACTTTACTGAATGACTAAGAAAAATAAATGCTGGAGATATAATATAATATACTTTATATTTACTTTCTTTGCACTCTTTATGATTTTATAACCCTTCCAAGTTGGGAGTTCATCACCAGGACAGAAACAGTTTTGTAAGGAAGCTAGTGAATTTGGAGAGCTGATCAACTATTTGTAAGGAAGGATCTTTGTTAATTGAGTGAGACTGATCCCCCCTCCCCCTTGCTGGCTGGGTATGTGTTTACTTGCACCCTGACCACATGGACTGAGGGGAGGGGATTACAGCTAAATCACTGATCAAGAGATTGGCTATTGGCTTTTTGTAGCATTCCTTAGCCAGTAGGAAGTCCCAGCCAAGAGTCTTTCCAAAGAGGAGAAATACTTGGAGCTCAGAAGCAGAACAAGTTAATAGGAATGGGAAAATTTTATAACAAAATTAAAAGGGGGATGAAGCACATACTGACCTCCCACTTTCAAAGCTAAGTAGCAAGATGAATTTAGAAATAACATGAGGAAAACAGGGGTACAGACTCTGTAAAAGTGTAACATAGGATAAAACAATTGTTAAAAGAAAAAGAATCCAAGTTATTAACAGTAAGTAGGATGAAGATAGAAAGCCAAGGTAGAAGGTATTTTGCAGTTTATTCCACAGACAGTTAAATGTATAAGTACTAGCCAGCTAAGCACAAGTCATGATTCATTCCTGCATTCCTGGCTCTCATGAAGCTAATCTGTTTTCTTGAAACTATTGCAGTTATTAGACAGTCATGAAACTATGTGGATGAAACTTCCTGGGATATGACAGCTTTGTCCTACTCCCAGAATGACAGCTCCCTTATGGTCAGGGAGAACAAGTGTTAAGGATGGCATAATATATTTTCTGTAGACAATGAGCCCAATTATTATCTATGATAATAAGAAGACTTTTGATTGTGGGCGAGATGAGTTATCATTTTTATCATTTATCATTTTATTAAATTTGTATACCGCCCTACTCCTGAAGGACTCAGGGCGGTGAACAGGCACAAAATAAAACAGATAAATACAAAAGTTAAAAAACATAATTAAAACCAAATTAAATAATTTTGCCCGAGACAATTAAAATTCCCAATAATTTAAAACAAATTAAAATTTCAATTTAAAAATTTAAAAGAAGGGGAGAAAATTAGGCCAGGCCGGCCTGCTGGAATAGGAGTGTCTTCAAAGCACGGCGGAAGGTGCGCAGATCCAGGATCCTCCGTATCTCCGGGGGGAGCTCGTTCCAGATAGTAGGTGCCCCCACAGAGAAGGCCCTCTGAGTTGGGTTTGTCATACACGTGGATAATATTGGGGTAAAAGTAGTAGTCATAGTCTACATTTGCATTAACAACATTAAAAAACTAAATTAACTGCCCTGGAACTAATTTAAGATGCTAGGTAGATGAGTAAAGTCCAGGTCTGCCAAGATAGTATTGTGAGAAATATTATTTCTTCCACACAGAAAATCAATTATAAAGACAGAGCACAGTGGTCTCCACATTTGGTCAAGCTCATGCAAGAGATTTGGATTTACTGATTATCAGGCAACTTTTTGGAAAAAGCTAGATCTGTATGAGAGAGGAGTTGTCACATGACATCAAAAAAGATGGCACAGCAGCTTTTAAATTTATCTCTGAGGAAAAGCCTAGCATAAAATTTAGAATAGGGCAGATGCCAATATCTAGATGAAGAACAGATACCCAATAGTTTTTTTTACTTTTCTGGGAAGAAATCAGAATAACATAAACAAATTAAGGTAACAAATGAAGATATTCTAGGAAGAAAGTATTTGAAGAAGTCAGAATAATAAATAAAAACATAGATTGCATATCAAAATTAGGTTTACATATATTAAATTCTTTTGAGAGTGGTAACTTTACATTTAAAAAGGGTACTTACTGTACTATTTATTCTTAGCTGCTAAATTAAAAATTAATAAATAATTTATCATTGGACAATTGATGCACTATGCTATAGTCAATTACTCTTCTTGAAAAAGTCACTGACAAAATTTGAATACTAAATTCACAGATGAATTGCATTTTTATCGGATGTACAATTGCAATGTTATTTTAATAATAACTCTAGTTATGGCAATATGGAGAAGCTCTTACTGTTCTTGGATGCTATCTTGTACTCTTGTTTCAATGCTGATTTGTAGAATGAACAAGTAAGATTTAATTATAAGAATTCTAGGGTATCTTGACATGTGGGTCCTAATGGCATCCCCCAAGAATCATTAAGCAATTCAAATTTGACATTTCTTCACATTTGCAAAGAAAAATATCCTTCAAATTGGGCTAGGCTCCAGAAGAATCAGCAACAGTGCATGCAACTTTACTTTTTTAAAAAGAGAGCTGACAAGATGAGGATATTATAGACTAGTCAGTTTAACATCAGTTCTTATGAAACTGGTGAGTGGTAAGTACAATTGCTCTCATTCCACATTAAGAGCAATGAGGAAGAAGCTTTGCTGAAGAAAAATAAGTATGTTTTTTGCAGTGAAAAAAGTATATCTTTTTTTCACCAATCTTTCTAGAGGTTTTTCAGCGTGTCAACGGGTATAAGGATAGAGGTGTTCTGCTGACTGTCAGTCTGTTTGAAACTGTAAAGAATACAAGACTCCTCATCAAAGGATTTTGAGGAAATGTAATGGGATAGAGGACCATTTTTATGAATTGCTAAATGGTTAAACAAAACAGAAAACTAAGAGCTGAAATAAATGCATTATTTTTTCAATGGAAGAAGTAAGAATTGGCATCCCTCAAGAACTGATAATTAGGTTTTTTCCAACTTGTTGATAAATGATGTTGACTTAGGGATAAGTAAGCAGTGATCTGATCAATTTTATGGATGATACCAAACTGTTCAAAATGACTGTGAACTTTCATTTTTTTATTTTTAAGATTTTTATGCCACTTTTATTACTTTATAAGTAAGTTAAAGTAAGTTACTTCTGCTTTATTGACTATACTAAAGACTTTGATTGTGTGGATCACAACAAATTGTGGCAAGTTCTCAAAGAGATGGGAGTACCAGACCATCTTATTTGTCTCTTGAGAAACCTATATGCGGGTCAAGAAGCAACAGTGAGAACTGGACACGGAGCCACTGATTGGTTCAAAATGGAAAAAGGAGTTTGGCAAGGTTGTATACTGTCGCCCTGCCTATTTAACTTATATGCAGAGCACATCATGAGAAAGGCGGGGCTAGATGAATCACAAGTTGGAATTAAGATTGCCGGGACAAATATCAACAACCTCAGATATGCAGATGATACCATTCTAATGGCAGAAAGAGAAGAGGAACTAAAGAGTCTTCTGATGCAGGTGAAGAAGGAGAATACAAAAGTTGGCTTGAAACTCAACATTAAGAAAACTAAGATCATGGCATCCGGCCCTCTCAATTCCTGGCAAATAGATGGGGAAGAAATGGAGGTAGTGACAGATTTTATTTTCCTGGGCTCCAAGATCACTGCAGATAGGGACGGCAGCTAAGAAATTAAAATATGCTTGCTCCTGGGGAGGAAAGCTATGGCAAAGTTAGATACTAACTAGCATACTAGCATACTAAACTAGCATACTAAAAAGCAGAGACATCACACTGCCAACAAAATTGTATATATTCAAGGCTATGGTTTTCCCAGTTGCAATGTATGGCTGTGAAAGTTGGACCATAAGGAAGGCTGAGCACCAAAGAATTGAGGCCTTTGAATTATGGTGCTGGAGAAGACTCCTGTGAGTCCTTTGGACTGCAAGGTGATCAAACTGGTCAGTCCTAGAGGAGATCAAACCTGACTGCTCTTTAGAAGGCCAGATCCTGAAGATGAAACTGAAATACTTTGGCCACTTAATGAGAAGGAAGGACTCACTGGAGAAGACCTAATGCTGGGAATGATTGAGGGCAAAAGAAGGGGATGGCAGAGAATGAAGTGGCTGGATGGAATCACTGAAGCAGTCGGTGTGAATTTAAATGGTCTCCGGGAGATGGTAGAGGACAGGAAGACCTGGAGGAAAGTTGTCCATGGGACTGCGATGGGTCAGAGACAACTTCGCAACTTAGAACAAGAAGTTAAAGTGGGGAATATACATAATACTCCTTCCTCCTCCTATTTTCCCAAAATAACTACCCTGCGAGAAAGGTTGGGCTGAGACAAGTCACGCAGCCAACTTTCATACCTGAGGCAAAGCTAGCACTCACTGTCTCCTGATTTCTTAGGACAGCACCCTAATTGCTACATCAAACTGGTTCTCTTTAAACTTTTTTTAAAATTATATTTCTTTAAACTGGAAAAATGATCAAACAAATAGCAACTGCAGTTTAATTTAAATGAATGTAAACAGATATATACTGAAACACATACACCCTCTCCATTTTATATAAATACTAATGGGATCTGAGCTGCCCATATAACTAACTAGAAAAAAGATATTGGGTCAAATGTAATTTAATGAAGGTATGAGCTCAGTGTATGGCAGCTGGGAAAAAGACAAATGTCATGCTAGGTTCACTAAGAAAGATTGGAAATACGACTGCCCATATAACATTCCTATATAAATCTATAATGTATCTGGTTGCCATACATGTAAAAAGATAGAACTGGAAAAGATTTGGAAGAAGATAAGTCAAATGAACAGAAGGCTCTAACACTTTTCTTACAAGAAAAAACTAGAAAAAATTGGACTCTTTAGCTTAGAAAGAAGACAAATGAAAGGGACATGGTTGAGTATGCATGGCATGAAGTTCTCCTCCTTCTCAAATCACTAATATAAGACAAGATGATGACAACTACCTTGTATGGATTTAAGAAGTTGGATAAATTCCTGGATGATACGTCTATCTAGGGCTATAAATCTTGAACCTGAATCTTTGCCAATTTACATGATTTCCAAAGTTTTGTACTTTTTGAGAATCACAGTTCTTCCTTTCCTGTATTGATATTTTATGCTAATACCACTATAAAGTCAAAGAAAATTAGAAGAAAGAAATCAGAGATTATTTGATGTATGAAATATGTCATTTAATTTTTTTGTTGATAATAAGTTTCCATCTCTGGATGAAATTAGACAATGTTGCTCTAAAATCTGGACCAAAAATAGATAGAGGCCCATGATACAAATTGCCCAAGATAACATTGAAAACTTTTTATTCCATAACTTTTCCATTTCTGTATACCTTTTGGTGATGAACCTCAACAACTGAAGTAAGACTTTGTATGTGAATACCTACTGCAGGGGTCTCAGACTCGCGGGGCCAATGCGTCATGTGCTGACCATCCCCACACCCATTTTAGCGAAGGGAAAAGTCGTGATATGTCACGTGACGACATGAGTTTGACACCCCTGACCTACTGGATCATTAATATGCCAGTTAATCCAACATGTTCTTACTTGTCTTGTGGATGCTGATCTATTTTTTCATTGCCACATCTGTTACATATAGGCCAAGAGAAAGCAGTTCTCTCATTAATGCCAACTACAGTACCTGAAAAAAAGGTAAAATAAGTTGCAAAATTTAGTATACTTTGACTTTGAATGCCTTTAACAATCATGTCTGTTTGGAAATACCCTTTCTTCTTCTTTTTAGAAGTATAATTAGCAATATTTAGATTTCCATTGATTTCAGATTTAATTGTAATCCAATCCTAGTTGCTTTTCATGTATTAAAAACCTGTAACTATGTTTTATTATTTTTCTAATTTCTAATTTCTCTCTTTCCATATCAAAGAGGAAATGTTTTCAAATACAAAGTTTGAGTGATTATATAGCCAATCTAATAAGCTAAGAAATTAATATTTTTTTGTCACCAAATACTGCCTCCCTTAGTTTCTGTCTTAATGGTAAAACTAACAAACCAGACCTCCTTTGAACCAGAAAATTCTGATTAACAATACCAGGGCATGAAGCCAAATTTAAATGATGATTAAATATTCTGGCTTGTCTAGAGCTATTAAAGAGTTTTCTGAAATGGATGAAAAGGGAATTAGTTAATGGTCGCTTTCCTAAATTTATTCCATAAATTGATCAGCTGTGGTGGCACAGTGGTTAGAATACAGCATTGCAGGCTAATTCTGCCAGCAATTCGATGCTCACTGGCTTCCTTCCTTCCAAGGTCAGCAAAATGAGGACCCAGATTGTTGGGAGTAATATGCTGACTCTGTAAACTGCTTAGAATGAGCTGTAAAACATTATGAAGTGGTATATAAGTCTAAGTTCTATTGCTATTTGTCCCATCCTTTAGAGAAGTCATTTGAACAAAAGGATTTTCATATCTCATTTTATGAAGTTCTGATACTAAAGATAGCTATTACTTTCATCTGAAAAAAACCAAAGTGAAGAAGAAAAACAGATATGACAGAGTTTTTAAAAAGCATTTACACTGGTTTAACACCAGGAATTATTCTTTATTTATATCCAAGTAACTGAGATTTAAGTATGTTTTCCCAAGCCATATACGTGACTAGAAACATTAAAGAACTGAAGGTCAGTCAGATATTTGGATCACTAGTAAGCATTGTTGTTCAGTGTTATAAATCAAGCAAGATGGGTATTTTATGGGAAGGCTAGTAAAAAGATTTAGAACAATAGCAGTTTGCTGAGCCAAGCAATAAACATTAATGTTTGCAAGCAAAACATATAAATGAGTAATCTTAAAACACCTGCAAATAAATGGATTACAATTGTTAATCCTACAGCGTCAAAGGCAAATTGCTCAGAAAGCCCTGAGGGGTTGAGTAACATGCTTGTCTTTTGATAAATGAAATTATTAGGAAAATAATTTCTGGCAATAATCCTATACACAGGTAGTCCTTTTACTTACGACCACAATTGACCAAAAATTCTTTTGCTAAGTAAGACATTTCTTAAATGAATTTTTTCTCACTTTAGAAGGTTTCTTGCCACAGTTGTTAAATGAATCACTGCAGTTGTTAAGTCAATAACACAGTTGTTAAGTGAATCTCACTTCCCCATTGACTTTGCTTGTCAGAATTTAGTAAAAGGTGAGCAAATGACCCCAGGACACTGCAACCCTCATAAATATGAGTCAGTTGTCGAACATCTGAATTTTGATCATGTTACCATAGAGATGGTGCAATCATTGTAAGTGTGAAAAACAGTCATAAATCACTTTTTCAGCTCTGTTGTAACTCTGAACCATCGCTAAAGGAACAGTTGTAAGTCAAGGACTAGCTGTACTAGACATCAGTGCAGGAATCTGTAATTAATTCAGGGTTGTGAGAAAAGCAATGTGTATATATTTTATTTTTATATACAGTTTAAGCTTTACAATGAGTTAAAAAAAAACATTCAATCATGTTGAAAGACCAGATAAAGTAATAAATGTAAGCTAAAGCCCCAATTTTCTTCCCAGGTTCTCAAGGCGGTACATATAGGCATTCCCAATTTATCCTTGCAACCATCCCATTATATAAATGGAGTTACCCAAGCCCCAGACTCTGCAGTACAGGATCATTTGTGAGGTCACTATCCAATATAATGGCACCCATAAAATGCCAACAGAACAACTATTATTAAAAGTATCATTGCCATTTTAATAATCTGCTACTGCACCAGGGGTGTCAACTATAACTTTTTCAAATGAAAATTATTAATTAAAGAAACAAGAAACAAGGAATATAATTTGTCATACACTTTTGGAAAATAGGCAAAAGAACAGTTAGCATTAAGATTTTAAATAACAAAAAATATAGTTACAAACCTCTTACAGTACAAATAGAATTAATTTGAGTAGTAGAATCCAGATAATCTAGTTTGACAGGACCAGTCAGTTCAGTGATGTCAGCACCACCAGCCCTACACAAAAGGGGCTTTTGTAGCAAGAGAACGGTACGTTCAATGCAAATAATCTTACCTGCCAACAAAGACATTTTGATAAGTTACAGTAACAAAGAAAAAAGTGGCTATGTTAATTATCTAAGCCAATAAAGACAAATTCCTGCAAGCATTTCATTAAGCTTGTTTTAGTCTGATTCATTCAAATGAGTACTTTATTCTTGTTAATAGTCTGCCAGCATCCACTAACCTGGTTTTATTTAGAAAGGAAATTGGCTGCATGCTGAATTTTCTTTATCTTTTAATGGTGGATTGGGAGTTATTCCAAAATTATTCACATGTTGCACTTTGCTCCCCAGAACAAGGTAATCAAATCTTTGCCCAGAGGGGGGTGTCACCTGAATGATTCAGTTCTGGAGGCATGGTAAGAGATTTGTGCAAATAGGCCAGAGGTTTAAATCTGATAGCCAACAATGACCAAATATGTACTGATTAGCTTATTCTGAACATGATTAGAATTTAATTTTATTCTTCTCAAGTAGTGTTAGGTAGAGTACTGGCATTGATACTCTATCCAGATACTTTCCCTCCCCTTCCATTCAATGGTGTCCGCTTCTTGGAGACTGCCTGGACAAGTCTCTGTGGTTTTCTTGGGAAGGTTTTTCAGAAGTGCTTTGCCACTGCCTTTTTCCTAGTGCTGAGACAAAGTGAGTAGCTCAAGGTCACCCAGTTGGCTTTGTGCCAAAGGTAGGACTAAAACTTGCAGTCCCCTAGTTTTTAGCCTGATGTCTTAACCAGTAGCTCTTCATTGAAATACCTACAAGTGTGATTTATTATTTAAAATAAAAGTTAGGCTTGGGCCATTGTATTTAGAGAAACAACTTAGTGTTAACAATAATGAACATATTCCAGAAGTGAGATAAGCAGCTATAATATGAACAATAAAACTTATTCTGGTGCATAATTCCCTACAATTCCTTCCCATTTGATACTACTGGACTGGATATGTAACGCACAATAAACTGGTTTTACTGGTGCACATTAAATTATTATATATCAAGTGTTCTCAGCAACAACTTGAAGTATGCTGGTATGCTATCAAATCAATAAAGATTAAGCAGTGGAAAGCATGAAAAGGATTGCTTCTTCAACTTTGTTAACAATATAGTTCCACTGGTTTCCATTCCATTGTCATTATAAAACTCTGTAATTCTAAAATATAGCCTCTATGTTTTCTTATTATTTAGTCCCTTCTTCCTTTCGAGTCATCATCACTCTCTAGTTTCTGTTGTAGGGATGGTCTAGATATAGGAAAGTCATCTTATTTAGTAAATAAGCTGCTTTCAAAGCTTTTCCACTTGTAAAGAAAGAGTGAGTGTGCTAAAAATCCTTTAATTAAAAACACAGCAAAAATCACCGAAAATATTTATTTATTTATTTATTATTTATTATTTATTTATTTATCTATTATCTATCTATCTATCTATCTATCTATCTATCTATCTATCTATCTATTTATGGTTCGATTTATATGCTGCTCTTTTCCAGAGACTCAGGACGGCTTACAATGCGTTAAGCAATAGCCTTCATACTTTTGTATATACCTGCTTAGTAGGGCTTTCGCCCCCCCCCCCCCCTCCAAGCAGTGTTCTTTTTTATACAAAGTCAGCTTATTGCCCCCACAAACCGGGTCCTCATTTTACCTACTTCGAAAGGATGAAAGGCTGAGTCAATCTTGAGCCAGGGGAGATTTGAAATTGCAGTAATTGCAGGCAGCTGGTGTTACTTAACAGTGCTTTAGTCTGCTGTCTTCCACCAAATGCACCAATAAGATTTGATTCTCTATTCTTAATGTATTGTAATGTCCAAGTGTCAGATATCTTTTTAATTTGGGGCTAAGGAATGAGTCTAGAGGCTGAAGAAACTCCCTTTTATTGTGCAATGTTTATGTTTGTATTAGGAGAGATCTGGAGAAGAATCTGGATGGTAATGAAAACTATGAAAAAGTAATTATTGGGTGATCCTGCGGGAGAGGGCAGCTTGACCATTATAAAGAAAGGGCAGATTGATTGCTTTCTCACATCTTTTTCAGTCTGCTGCTTAACCAAAAATGTCAAAGAAAGAGATGTTAAGTCCTATAATCATAAATTCTGCTTTTGATTGCTAGGTTAGTTGCTGGTTAAATGTATTATCCAGCATTTAATTATGAATGGAAGTACAAACCTGGCATGTGACAGGAGCACCTGGCAAGAGCGTAGAACTAGTTAAAATGGCCTGATCCGGAAACCTTATGAAACTGGATAGTTTCCTCAATCCACTTAGGGAATTTTCTATCTCATCTGAAGTATTTTTTGGATTCCTATTCTGCTGCATGGAGGAAATGGATGTGGGCTTACCTGAACGTCCTTTCTGCGTACCAGAGGGTCCAGCAGTCTTGACAGGGTTAATACAGTGTTCCGGTACGAACTGAGTCTGCAATTTGTGAAGCTCCTCCCATTCCTCTGGCTTCCCAGATTTCTGACGAGGGAGATCTTGCAGACTGTGAAGCTGAGCTGAGAAAAAACAATATTAGAAACACCCCCGCCCCCGCCCGAGGACCGGGAGAAACAGGGTAGGAATGACTGCTGGACCCTCTGCTATGCAGAAAGGATATTCAGGTAAGCCAACGTCCATTCTACTATAGTGAGGGTCCAGCAGTCATGACAAGGACATGTCAAAGCAGAACCCCCTATTGGGAGGGATCCGCCCGGTCCGAAGAAGCTACCCCTCCAAGAACCTGCTGCAACACCCGACGGCCGAAAGCCGCCTCCGCCGAAGCATAGATGTCCAACTTATAGTGGCGGATGAACGGGGAAGGCGAAGACCAAGTAGCAGCCCGGCAAATGTCCTCCAAAGAGGACTGGGTAGCCCAGGTGGCGGAAGTGGTCGCGCTATGGGTAGAATGAGCCATGATGCGTGCAGGTACAGAAAGGGATTGGGCCTTCTAAGCCGAGGCAATGGTAGCCCTGAGCCAACGACCCACTATAGAGGAAGAAACCCTCTGACCCAGGGTAGCCGGTTGGAAGGAGACAAATAGACTGTCCGAACGCCTGAAGGAAGAGGTTCTCTTAAGGTAAATCCTAAGGGCCCTACGGACATCTAGAGTATGCCATGTCTGTTTCAGGTGATGAGATGGAGAGGGACAGAAATTAGGAAGGACCAACTCCAGGGCTCTATGGAATGTGGGACATTAATGGGGGAGGACTGTGGAAACTCCAGTCTCATGGCCACCCGTACAGCCTTTTCAATTGCTCTTTCAATGGACTTATGCCTCTGGGTCTCAGCTTTTTCGCTGGCTTTGGAAGCTTTCTGGGTAGCAGAGGCTTTGGAAGATGAAACCTTGCCCCTTTTTGAAGGTCCCAGTTCAGAGGGACCAGAAGGATCAGATGACAACTGGGTAGCCGCTACCCTTTTAGAAGGAAGAGCAAAGGGCCTGGAAGACATCTGGGACTAGAATGTGCAGAAAAAAAAATCTTCAAACACTGTCCAAAATGGCCATCGACACAATGAGGCAAAACAAAATGGCTGCCATCACCCAGATGCAAATAAAATGGCCCCGGACACAATGAGGCAAAAACAAAATGGCCACCTGCACAAAGAAGCCAAACAAAATGGCGGCCAGCACCCAATGTCACTCAAAATGGCAGCTGCCAAAACTCTCCACCAGGTCCACAATCGCAGCAATTCCAAGTCCAAATGGAACAGGCTTACCAGCTGTTGGTATGCTATTCTGAAGCCCTCTGCACGGCGCTCTGGCGTCTCTGCGGCTAAAGGAGCAATCGAAAATCGCCACCGCTGCAAGGCGTGTGAGGAAGCCCCCCCAGGGACACTGATTCAGGATCTGCCAGGTGGCAGACCTGCTGCCAAAAATAGCAGTCTTCAGCGGGCTCGGACCTGAGCTGTTCTCGCTGGAAAGGGAGGATCTCAACCAGACAGGCCAGGAGATCCTCACCCAACTGCTAAAGCAGTCTTCAGCGGTATGAGGCATTAGCCCTTCTCGCTGGAATGAGCAGAGCTCAACCAGATCCCTGGGAGCTCTGCAACCTTTAAAGGAGAAAGGCAATGCTAGAACAAGTAAAGCCAAATTGTTTTTAAAATCAAAACTTGGCAGCTCAGCCAAAAACAGTCCGTTCAGAATAACTGAGTCTGAAATCTGGGAAGCCAGAGGAAGTGGGAAGAGCTTCACAAATTGCAGACTCAGTTCGTACCGGAACACTGTATTAACCCTGTCATGACTGCTGGACCCTCGCTATAGTAGAAAGGCAGCATAGAAGCGTTCTTTTATGCTTTTACTGTATCTTCATAAGACAGTTGCAGCATCTTCATCAAGAACAAAGAAGAAAGGAACTTGCTATAAAAAATGTGCATCCTCCTTTATGAACAAAATTGATCAGATTTGTCTCAACCTGGATTTCAATGTTGGAGCATGTCACAGGGACAAAATCTTGGCAACTGTTTATCCTCTTAGTTCACAAAGAAAACATTTGCACAATTAAGCTTAGGATACTGTTATGAACTTTTATTATGAACTTTAGGATACTATTATGACCTTGTCATATTTAACAGTGCTTATTCACACCTTATTTACATCCTATCCGAACCGTTATAACAGATTCTTCATAGAATTATCTTTAATATGTATTTGGAAGTTGCTATTGGTTTAAACTGGAGAAGGTAAGCAGGGATCATATTATGCTTGCACTGAATGCACTTCCTGACAATTATTGACTGGACACAATATATTGACAATATATTTAATAACATAATGTAATGTAATATCTCAATGCCTAAATGACTATCATTTCTGATAAAACTGTCCAATTATTAATATATGTTAGAGACCCATCTTTCAAATATCTGAATGAGGGTATTCTCTTTTGTTGTTTCCAGGCCAAATAACACACTTCCTCAGGAACTGCATTTAACTTCCAATTTTTCAGCATTTAGAAGATATACAGATGCATATATTTTACAATAAATGAACTTTGTACTTTCAAATCGGTCTTGACTCCTGTGACAAGTCCCTGCAGTTTTCTTGGCAACATTTTGAAAGTAGCCTAATGATATTTTGGTTTAAACCTGTTTGAAAACATTAAGTGAAGTGGAGTCCACCTACAAATTGGTTCCCTCATCAAACATTTCTTAGTGTTAGGATTTTTTCCCCTGTCATTCAGTTGGAATCTACCTTCCTGTGACTCTGAATTCAAATCAAAATCATCTTGTCTGACATTATTTCAAGTACTTGAATATATTATTTTAGTTCCTCCCAGTCTTCTCTTTTGAAGGTTAAACATTCCCAGTTTCTTCACTGTCTTCAGTAAACTTAGTTTCCAGTTTTTTGATCATCTTCACTACCCTTCTTTCTACCTATTTCAGTTTCTCTGAATACTTTTTAAGTGTGATGGCCACAAGTGTGTGTGACACAAAATAAAATAAAATCAAAATATTACTGTGGAGTTCTTGCGATCTCCGAAATGATTGTATGTTAGGGTATTTTATCAAATATTTTACTGAAACCAGGATGTATTATGTCCATATTAATCCCACTCTCCATTAAGAAAGTTTCCCAATGAAAAATTATTTTTTTAAAATAATACTGTTACTTGGTAATTACTACATTCATTTCAAGGTGCTTACAGATCTACTTGTTTATCATCTGCTCTATGAATCTCAGACTGATTGGTCTGTAGTTTTCTGGGTCCTCCTCCACTTATCCTTTTGAACAGAGACATTTTCTTGCCTACAAGTATCTTGTATTTTATACATTGTCCAGGATGTCTCAAAAATAATGTAAGCACTTGGTGAAACTGTTAGTCAAATCATCCAACCCTAGAGATTTAAATTCATTAAGACTAAAATAATATTGTCTAATCATGCTTTCATCAATTCCAAATTACAATTCTGCCCTTAATTCTGCTCTGCATAATTTATTGCTATGGGATAAACTTTTCAGTTAAAAAATTGATCCAAATAAGAGTTCATAGACTCTTTTTTTGTACTTGTTATACAAATTTTGTTGTAGTAAATGAAGAATGTGTAAAGTAATTCATTTTTTGTTTTTATTTTGAAGATGTATACATATTTTTTACTGTTCTTAGCATTCTTTATTAACCTCAGGGCATTCCAACTTTTAGTATTTGAGATTCTATCTCAGTATCATGTTTTGTTTTCCTTAAAATAAAAAAATGCCAGCTCACTTTCTCCCAATGTTCTCATGTTTCAATTTCATCAACAAAGCATTCTGTATTTGTTGATATCTGGTCAAATATGCCTTATCTTCTTGCGCTATATCCTTTGAAGGAGAAAGTTAGGATATATCAAACTAAGAAAGTTGTCAGTTAAGATGAGCCAGGAATTTCCTGCAAGTACCATGCTTGGCAGAATTTGTCTCGCAACAGATATCAGGGTAATTAAGTTTCCTATCACTATTGCTCCATGCTCTTGGAAAGCTCTGTGATTTGCTTTTGGAAGAATTATCCACATCTTCTTGCTGGGGAGGTGAACACTAAATTGGTATGGATTTTATTCATTTATCCTGTTTTAACAATTCAATGAATGAGGTTTTAAAGAACATTAAATGTAAGATCTTAAGAAATCAACAATATATTAATTTTTATGCTTATTGGATACCCATAGAATGTTCAAGGATGACTGGCTATTGCAAGTATAAAAGGGGTAAGGGGCTATATTATATTCTCATATTGGATATGATATCCAATTCAGATTGCCTCATTATTTGGGTTTAATAGACCTCTGTTTGCTAAATCTATTTCTAATCAATGAATTATTCTTAGAAGTTGGGAAAGTGATGTGAGCCCAGATTATTTAGTTATTATTTATTTATTTATATTTATATGCTGCCCATTTTATAATCCAAAGCAACTCTGGGTAGTGTATAAATTTATAATCTTGGATTTCAGATTTCTGTTTGCTTTCAGTTTGTGCAGAGACTGTTTTCTATATAATGGAAAGACTGATATATATTATTTTAGGTCCTCAATATTTAATGATATGTTTAAAAACTAGTCTATATATTTATATGCATTATAACACATTTGTACACATTCTTTTAATTTCTGTTAGTTTGCATTTATTTCTATTTTGTTATGAAATACTAACCCTTACCATTTCCACACATAGCATCCTTGAAGAAAACAATACAAGGGGATGAGCTCTTGAATGCTTCCATTACTTCCACATCAATCACACATGATGAAGAAACTGAGACAGGTAGCGTTTTGGGGGTTCCAGAATTGATCTCAGACTCTCTTTGCAGTGAGAAATCAGTGACAAATAGCCAAAATTGCCTTTGGTCTGGGGAAGTGCTGCCCATTTCCTAGGGTTGAAAGGGGGGGAAAATTAAATGTTAAAGTTTAAGAAAAATATTTTCTAACCAGCATAAAATTAAAGACAATTAAGCAGATGAAAACTTCAATTTAGCTAGCAGCATTTTAATCAGAGTACAATCAATGGATCATACAACACATGCAGCCTACTCTACCCTCCAAACTGAAGTTCAGAGACAAAAATTGCCAAATTTTTATGGCACAATTTTATTCTATTTAGAGTGATTTTAAGATAATGGCTGCACATCGTTTCTCTTCTTCCCATATCTCACCCTTAACCACCACCATCCAAGCTCAAAATATTGGCTACAAATTTAAATAGTTTCAGGTGACATATAGAATCACTAGATCTTTTGTAAATCTTCAAAAGATCAGGAGGTGATTATGGTTGTACTCCAGCCATAAGCAGAAAGACATCCAGGTCCTGTATACATGCTGGGATAAAATCAATGATCATCACTGCTGTCTATTGATTGCAATAAATCAACTATGTGATATGACTAGATTTGAAACTTAGAAAGTAAAAGGGTACCATATTCAAAGTTGCTATACAGGTAATTTCATTTAACAACCACAACTGGAACCACTCTTTGTCACTAAGGCATGTGGTCATTAAGTGAGTTATCAAGTGACTGTGATGGATTTGCAACCTCACTTCTACCACAATCATTAAGAGAATCTCTCACAGTCATTAAGCAAGACATCACAGATTTTTAAGAATTTTAAGATTTGAGAATCATTTGTCTGAAATATTACAGCGTTTTCTGCTTGAGCAGGAGGTTAGACTAGAAGACCTCCAAGGTCCCTTCCAACTCTATTTTTCTGTTAACTGCAATTTTACTGCCAGGCTTTCAATTGACTCTGCTTGTTTAAAGCTAGCTGTAAAGTGTACAAATGACAAGCACATGACCATGAAACATTATGGTCACTGTAAATAACTGCTTGTTGTAAAACACCTGAATTTGTGTGATTGTAGGGATAGTGCAACAGTCATAAATGCAAGGACTGTTCATAAAGTTATTTTTTAAGTGCTGTCATACCTTTGAATAGTTGCTAAAGAGGGCAGTTGTTAAGTGATGTCTACCTGTAGCAATTCGACACAGCAAACTATTACAACCCATCTTATTGGTCAAAGTGAAAGTCACTATAGTGCAGGTATAATTTGCAGCTCTGTCAGTCCCCTTTTGCAATTTCCAGAATCAACTCTACTACATGGGCTGAAAGTAAGTAAAATTTTGAAGTGAAAAATATTAATAAAACCTGTAAATTCTAAATTTCACTTCTTTTGTTAGTTTTATATCTTGCTTTTCCTCCAAAAATGCAATGCAGCATACATGGTATTCTTTTTTCCAATTTTATTTGAATAACAATTCTTTAAAGTAGGTTGGGCTGAATAGTGACTGATAATCATCCAGTCAAATTCCGGCTTAAGGTAGAGTTGAACATCAATCTCACAGACTTATTCCAATTCCCTTAGAAAAATTCTGAGCTTACCCAATTTACCTCATCTTTCCACACATAGACGTTTTTGGCCACTAAAAAGCATTAAGTCCTGCCTCCAACTATGAATAGTTCACCCTTAATTAAGGTTTAAATATAAATGTTTTCCTTATGCATTTGTTTTCAAATAAGTCACTTTGAGGATTTCATAATTATTGAGCAATTCAAACATGCTATATGATGTGATGCCTTTGACTAGTATTATTTTGAAATTTTAAACAATTGTTATGTGTTTTTTTTTCTTTGAATAAAGAAAATACCAGAAGCATTATTCCTATACTGTGCAATGTAATTTTCTTGGTAGAAACTCTATAGATATAAACATGGAAGTTTTCTTCCTGGATAAATTTCGACATTTTTCAAGGATGCATACAAACTAAATGATTCATAAAAGGTAGAGGAGAAACAAAAACATCTATTCTAGCAACATAAATATCCTATTTGGGACAGGAAGATAAATATATTCAACAAAAGATAAAGGTCATCAAAACAGATGATCTCATAATGAAATTGCTTACCTTTTGTAGCTCCTTCTAGACTCAAAGAGTTTCAGCTTTGTACTAAGAAGTTTACTATTAAATAGTGAATATAAACACTGAAAGGTTCTTGAAGATTCTTGAAAATACTGCAGAATTACTTCAGATTAAAATTTTGTTCAACTTTTACCATCTGACATTTTTGTCATTCAAGATTTTGATATAAAATGCTTAGGCACATCTTCCTGAAAGTAGGCCCTCTCAGAAGTCAAAGAAACATGTATAGATTATACTATTAAAGGTATGTGGTATACCAAAAGGTGTTATAAAATATCTATAAAATTTGAGTGTTTAAATTGAAATACTAATGCTGTAGTTGAATTTAAAACAACAAGTGAGCAGGATCATGATCTCCCTTTTCTTCTCAGCACTTCTGCCATAATTCACCCATTTCCACAGAACCAAATGACCCTTTCCAGGAGCTGAGAGTCTGCTATTCGGAGTTCTATTGGCATGCACCCAACTCTACAGATACTTCCACTTAGCATTATATCATCATCCGTAGACATAACAATTCAATTAGTCTTTAAAATGTCACAGTAATACTTTTTCTATTAACAGATTTCTATAGCTACCATATCTCTTCAGAAGCAAGAATATTAGAGCTTTAATCTGATATTTGCATTATATTTTTTAAATAATTGTATATTAATTTTATTTATGGCCTCAAAAAAAAAAAAAAAACCTGGAAAATATGAGTGACAAAAAGGGTTAATAAACTGCAATGTATAATTTCTTCAATCTTGTTTTGCTGCTGTTCTCATTTCAATTGTTAATTGAAAATTGAATTTTAATTATATTTTTTAAAGACATAAAGCAGAAACACTGGAACACTGAATTACTAACCTTTAGATTCTGACCAACAAGACTGTCAGCCAGAAAGCAAATAACAATAAGTCACTTTAAAACCATCATCTTCCTGTATGTGTGTCAATTTGTTCTGAACAAAAAGGACAGAACAGACAAACAGCAGCAGGATTGAGTTATGTGACAGTACAGTTCCCCGAGCCCAGATGGAATATATTTCCTCATTTTCCTTTCGTACCATAATACTTATTCTGAATAGTAATAATAAAAAGACAATATTTCCATTTCCCAATTCACAGAAAGAACTGAAGAATTTTAGTTCCACTAGCTCTCTGGAGTTCTGATTTAAAAAGAAGACAAAAGGAGATTTGACTTTTAAACACAAAATGTAGTCAGAAAAGATTATTTTTCCTGGAATGAATTAGTCTGCAAAAGAATTTTAAGCTGAACCAAGGTCTTTCCCTCATATTTTATGATATAGTAGACTTTTATGAAGGACACATCCTTGCTAGCAGAGATTGAACTAATAAACAAGTTGCAGCCCTGACATTTTATTTCTGGAACAGTTAACCTAGGTGAGCTTGTTTAGCTTGTTTACATTTTTCCTAATTTCTGGACCTCATTTCCAATAATGGTGTATCTTTTTTCCATTTTGAAGATGCTGATAAAGTAGAATTAAGTGACTACTATAAAATACTACCTTCAATTAAATATTTGAACTAACATTGCTATTCAGTTGCAGAATTCTGAATGATTTTTTAAAAAATTTCATATTAATTAAAACAAAATTAATGCACATGTGAAACAAAATCATCTGGGATGTTTCTAGTACAAAGGCTATGCTTTTAATTTGTGGAAACTGAGAACATAGGATCAAAGAAGCTAAAGAAAGAACGTAAATTTGAAAAACTGTACTATAAACCAACTGTGCTATTATACGATTCTAGTCTTCTCCTAATCCTGCGGCAAACTTTGCGTAGGCCACCTGAGATGGTGAAAAAAAAAATCCTAATAGGGAGCTCTACAGCTTACAACCAGCAGTGCCCACCAGCTGTTTGGTGGATTATACTGGGATACAGTAGGGCTTAGATGTGACCAAGACTGATACATAGCCATGTTTGGACACAATTAACTTACATTTAATTGTAAAAGATTCATCGGTTGCCTTATTGAATTAAAATCAATTATTTTCTTAGTGTCCTGCATTAGTTATTCTTGACAGATTTTATCTCTCTTATTGACTATTTAATGTTTATGAAAATGGGGTTAACCTCTAACTATCCATCCATCCATCCATCCATCTATCTATCTATCTACTTACTCTGCCAATCTGCTCTGCGCTGGATATCTTAAAATGAATCAAATTATCAGACAGAAGCATACATGTTTTATTTGTGCCCAATCATCCCAGAAATTCTGAGAAAGAATACAAGCATATCTTTATAGCTGGATTTCTCATGAAGATCTGATTTAAGGATTGGGATTATAAAAGATTTGGAACTAAGAGAATATAACAGAGATGTGCAAAATTCTGTCGTAGAGCTGCAGAATTTTGATTTCCCCCCAACACATATCATTTTTTCCTCTGTTCCACTCAAACAGAAAAATCTGAATATTCCTGGGTGGTTAATGTAATTCTGGAAGTGGATTACCTAAAATTGGAAATAATTGTATATTCTGGATGCTGCCCAACTACTCTTCTATGGAATAGACTACACCTCTCTGGGATTAAAGACATCTATTTTATTATCACATTTAGAATATAATATATATCTCAAAAAAGGATATAGATCTATTATAATATTTGGTGCACCAGAACTTCCAAATTCAAAGCCACTTAATATCTTCAGGAAAAGGCTAATGCTTTCTTGTCCCTATTATGGACTTCCCAAAGGAATCTGATTGGTTGTTGTGAAAGGATCATACTTATAAAGATGCACTATTGGTCTCTTCTAGCAGTTCTTCAAGCCAATATAAACTAATTTATCATCACACAAACTTCTGTGAATTATACTACAGTTTAACAGATAATTGGAGCACAGTCCTAAAAGGAGTTTATATGTACAACCTGCTGTTGATGGGACAGTATCTTTTAAAATAGGAAGAAGAGAGATGGTTACAGGAAATGAAAAACACTGGGGATGACATATAAATTGTCTTAAATATTATCTTAAAGTTTGCTTAAACTCCCTCTTCTTTACAATAATGTAAATGTAGGAAAGTCACTGTTGATCAGCCTATTTTTCCTTTTCCTAGGTATAATATCCTATTATACCTAGGATATAATCTGAAGTTTAGGGATAAAATAGCCATCATGAACATGCTTAGCTGTGGGGAGTGAGGATTTCCCAGATGTACAGCTAATTTCAACAGAGCTTGCTGATGTCTTGTATTAAAGGCTTCCAAACATGAAGCAGATGTAACCAGGAGGCATACAAATTATGCAAGAACCCAAAATGTCTGGAGCAATGTTTGAGAAGGCGATTTTTTTTCTTTCTGTTAAAAGAGCTCACTCAACTACCACTGATTCTGTAAAAGTAAGACAACCATTATTTAACTTACTAAGTAAAATATACTTTATTGCTTAAAAGTAACCTAATGTTTAAGTTGTCTTTTAATGCCAGATAAGAGTATTAGATTGTAGTAAGTAAAACAAACAAAATTTTACAAGACTTTTAACTCTTAGTGTCTCCCATGTGTAGTTTTAAGGAAGGTTTCATGTTTCATTTTCATTTAATGTGATATCCAGTTAAAATCTCTGGAATTTAACATATGACAGGTATGTCATATGTTTTGTTGGAGTAATTTGTAGAACTGTACTGACAAGCAAACTCCAGCAGTTGCCCACATGCCCATATAAAATGTTTAGTGAAAGAAAATGTTAGAAATCTTAGGAAGATAGCTTGAAAAGAAGGCAAAAATAAAGAGTTAACCATCTGGATTATAAAGGACAGAGGACGTGGCAAATTAAATCTACCCAGATATATTCAGTTTTTACTGCAGTTTCTAGATTTACACACTTAGTCATCTCTCATTTAATTATGTAATATTTTCAACATACAAATATGCATTTGGCGTCATCTTTGTATCTTTCAGAGTAGTTTCAGGTGAATGCAATAGTTCCAGTTCAATCAAAATGTTCTTTCCGGTACTGTATACACAAAACTTTTTGTAAGTGGAGTTATTTATATTATCCACTGTCTAAATGAGTAAGATTATTTTAGGTATAATACACTACTTCTTTAGTATCATAATACTATTTTTACTTTATTCTTTCATTTTATTGTAAATAACTTTTCTAAAATGATTTTTTTAAATTTTAGTATGAATCTATCGACATTATATAATCTAGTAATTTGATTTAATAATTGGACAGCCAATATGAAGTAGGACTGAAAGCATCCAAGTTCACATTTGTCCTTATTCATGGGAACCAACTGGGTGATTTTGGGCCAGTTATTTTCCCTGAGCCCACTTCATAAGATTGTTGTTCCTGGGATAAAAGGCAAGGAAATCCCTACGTAAACCTTAAGTTTTTAGAGGAAAGACAGAATAACAATCAAACAACTATAAAGATGGAAACCCTCTAATGAAACTCTTAAGGCGGCATCAGGCTTTAAGGAATTGTACCAATAAAGGAGAGTATTTGTAGCTCAGGGTTGAAATGAGGAGTGCTTAGTGCTCTCTGAGCTTGGTTGATTTCTTGCAGACATTTCATTACCCAAACTAGGTAACATCAGTGTTAGCAGTGCTAGTTTGGGTAATGAACATCTGCAAAAAAACAACAAAGCTCAGAGGGCACCAAGGATCCCTCATTTAAGGAAATGTGTTGGCCATCTTTTTGAACTGTTGAGCATATTTGGAATTATGAGAACATGTCAACAATTTTCTTACAAACTAACTGTGATAAGGAGAACTGAACTGTTACTGAATAGGACCAATGAACATGTTTGTTTATAATAACAATAGCAAATAACTTTCGTTTATACACTTTACAAAGAAAGAGACATTACCATTTACATGGCAATGAATAGAAGACACATATAATTCATTTACTACTTCAAAACTAAAGAACAATTTCAATATAGAAAATGGCTCCTGTATTTCTGGAGAAGAAATTCTACTATTACCAAACCCAAAGAATCCTCTAGCACATAAAAGGATTCTCATTTAGACTGACAACATATTCAGTGGTTTAGGTTTGGACTGGGATAAGAAGAATGAGGTTCAGGAATCTGTTTGACCAAAGTGAGTGATTTTGATCTAGTCACTTCCTTTTAGCTCAGCCTATCTTACAAGGTTTTGTGCAAATAAAATAAAGAGAGATTCCTATATGCACACACTGAGCTCTTAAACCCAGAACATAAATGCAATAATAATTAAAAATAACTTGTTGATGTATAAAGGAAGATTATTTACATAAAAACAATACCTGCAGTCTTCGATATATAACATATGCCCAAAAACTGCAACGCTGAGGTAAATCGCCCATCTGAAAAACAATTAAAATTTGGACTTAATATTGAATTCCAAACTATTACTGGTTGATTACTGATTGTAAAATTTTTGAGGAACAAAAAATACCTGGTAAACTTCCTTGAGACTATGAACAGCTGGGGGGAAATATAAATTTGACAATTGTTCTCTTTCATCTGCATCAATGTAATCAGCAGAAGCAGCAAGAATGTAACAGAAACTTGGAGGAAGCTGGTTAGCAGTAATGTGCTGAAAATAATAAAAATAGATACAGTCATTTAATAAACGGATGCTCCATACTAAATTAATTTATTTGGTATGGTCTAGGAAGCCCTTCTAAATTAGTGAGAAGAGACTCACTTCTCCAAATGTCAATCATCTTTACAAAATCAGAAATAATATTTCATCTACACTTTCTTCTGAGTATTTATGACACAAATTTATGACACAAAAAAATATAGCTACACAAAGTAACAAATCATGGAAATTGCTTTTGCTATCATAATACTGGCCAAATGGGGTTCTAATATTTTAATTTCTTCACATACTTTCTCTGTTATTTAGAATATTAAACACGAGGGTGAAACCATCAATAAATATTTTAAGCTATGTTACTGAAGAACAAGAATGCTGCCAAACTGAATTATCCTCATGCATCCAGCAGCATGAGGATAATTGGGGACATGAAGAGTAGAACATAACATGATGTTCTCTTTATAGGTGGCTGTAATGAGATTAAATCTATTTTATTTATTTGAAGATTGTATGAAGCAATGTATAAATTTAAAGATCAATAAATACTGAAAGTTATTTCTTGATAATTACTCCAATTACAAAGGAATGACAATAATGAAAACAGTTTCATCTTTGTATATCCATTTGTGCACATGGAGTTTCTGAACTATCAAACTTACTAAATCTGTGATTCATGTTCCGAAGCACCGTATACCTATTTAACATCCTGACTAAAGAATCCCGGGTGCTTTCGCTCTGTTTTGTCCATATGCATGTAAATCTGAAATTCACAAACCCCACCTTCAACCATCATTGCTCTACCCAAATCAACTAAGAGATAAGTGCAAGCCAATCATTGAATACACCTCCACAGACTTTCCAATGTGAATTAACAAGAAACTCAGCAAAGCATAAAAGTGAATATATATTTTAAGTATATCCTTTCACTGGAAGACATAACACACAAATGCCCCTTGCATCAGTATTTGCGCTTTTTATGTTGCACAAAGCAAGATTCCTTACAGACTGTAGAAGTGGGTGTTGTGCAGATGGGTGGAGAATTGGAAAAAGCTTTCAAAGAAAGATTGATTTGTGAAGCACTTAGTAAATTTACAGAAGGGCCAGAAAAGGGTTTTATTCTATATTAATACAAATCCGCTTTGGTGGTATATTCCCCACAGCAGTAACCCAGTGAGAGTTTTATGCTGGTGAAAGAACATTTCTGGGTTTCTCCCACAGCTAGCATACTAACAATAGGAAGAGAAGCATAGCAGTGATAAAACAGCAATTTTGGAAGGACTACACCCACAGGGACAGGATGGAACTGCTTAAAAGCATATGTCTTCCACTGCTAAGAGAGGAGGTGGACAACCCCTCATTAAGCCTGGTACCTTAACCATTGCACCAAACTGTTCCTCCATTTTGAGAATATTATTTATTTATAAAGGAATTAAAATACAAGGCAAAGCAGGCTATAACTGCCCTAACCATAGCTCCACCTGTTTCATTATTCAATTCCTACATGACTCCTACTTCAAATTTTACTCAAAGAGCATAAGCATCAACATACTTTAATCTGAGGTTTAATATTCTGTAGAGTCCCTCCCAGACTGAAGTTATAATTAAGTAGGAACCTTAAATAACATTTTATTTTGCTGAGATAAGAGGTATCAAAGTAAACAGATTTTCCATTCATTAGAAGAGGAGTAGAGAGGATAGAGAGAGGGGGAGAGAATAGAGGGAGAAGATAGAAAGGGATGGAGGGAGTGGAGAGAGACAGAGAGACAGAGAGAGAGAGAGAGAGAGAGAGAGAGAGAGAGAGAGAGAGAGATTGAAATTATTCCTTAAGAGGCATAGAAAAATATCCTTGCATATTGAATATGCAAAATCTATGCAACATTGATCTTATCTACTTCTACAAGACTTAGGTAACGTTTAAAATATGGATTTTATCTATTTTATCTATGTGATATTTGAGAAAAAATGATTTCAGTGTTAAGTACAAGAATATTCTAGTGTCTTATTATCTTTTTGAATATGCTTTTGTAGCAGGAAATACATCTTCCCTGCTAAAAAATACCTTAGCTATCTTTCTCTCCCAAATTGCAATAGTTATAAATTAGTACAACAAAATCTCAAAATCTCATTAAATTACTGTCAAATTTTAAACAACAAACTATGGTATCTTAATTACTGCAAACAGCTTTGTATACATTTTATTTACTTCATATTTTCTCATTTTCACAGCTAACAGCACTGTTTTAGCATGCATAAAGTATTCTATTATAGAAGTTTTATCTCCATATATGGTTCTAGCTCTGATTTTATATAAGATTGTGATTAAATATGGTGGTTGATTGAAGAAAATAGGGCATTTGCAGCTGAAGATGCTACTCTTTGAAGATTTTAAAATGAACCTAGGTTAAATCAAATTAATTTGGAATTTCATGTACATAATTATACTAAACATTTCATTTTTAATTTCCTTCAGGATTCTCATTTTTTAGGATTCTTTGCTTCTAAATGTAAAATACTTTTCCATAGAACCATAAATAAGATTTTCTGTTGCACATTACCAATAACAGTAATTGTTGGTGATGTTATATTAAGGGAGGAAAATACAATGTTGAAAGTGTAATGAGGGCATTGAGAAGATAATTATTAAGGAAATCTTATTTATATGATTATTTTTGAAAAAAACAAGTCTAAAAGTATCTTACTCCTTTATTTTCTTGTCTCTTGCCCGGAACTTGAAGAGGTGATAATGGTGGCCACAGACTGTCAATCAGGCTAAAAAGCCCTAGAGTTCTATCAAAACAAGTAAGCAAAGTACAAATATGATAAAATCTATGTGAGTATATACAATAAAAGTGTAATCATTAGAAACATACTATCAAAATAATTTTTGTTGTTTTTGCTGAGACTGCATCTATATTTTAATTATTTTGAATTACAATGGAATCTTGTACCACTACTAAAAGAAATTTCACAAGATATTGATATGGAAGCCATTCTAGATGAAATGGTATGTGTCTATGAGAATCCAGTATACTGTAGAATTAAAATACAATGCAGCAATGTCTAAAGCCTGTAATTTAATTATGAAAAACAGAAAAGATGTAAAGAAGTTATGTTGTAAAGAAAGCAGTAGAAGGTGGCAAGCCAATCTGAAAAAAGTTTTACAGAAAATCCAATATAACAAGTTAATGATAAGTTTAATATTTTGGGGATGATGTCAAAATAAAGATTAGTTTTGATATATGGCTTTTATTTTCTACAGTGTACATTGAAACCAAATATGCTAATTTCAGTGCAATTATAACATCTACTGGCAGTATCTAGTCAGTAGAAACATTTTTATTTAAATGAGTGGTTGTGTTTTTAGTTCTTTTCCTTTACAAAATGGCATGTACAGCACAAAAGAACACAGAACATTTTACATGATAAAATTTAGCACACTGCCCTCTTTTTCTTCTTTTATCATAATCTCTCATTAGTCACCTTCTGTTAAACAGCTGTAAAGTATTCAGGTTAACTTTGGGAAGAAAGGTAATCATGCATGAATCAGCACAATAACACGAAAGGATGTCAGGAAACAAAGATACTACCTTACATAGAATTAATCCAGTTGCTTTAGCAATGACTGTATGGCGTTCTAATCATCTACTCTCAAAAACAGCAGAACAAAAAGTGTGCAACAACAATAGGGGACAAGGAATATGTTCCATGGTAATAAAAGTTTTCAATTTAAGAGCAAACTGCACAGTAATTTTTTCTAACAATTGAGTACAATGTTATTCAAATTCATTGAGCTATGCTAGTAGGAATATGCAAGAATTGTTGGGTTTTCTGCTGCCTCTTCACCTTAAGATGCAAAGAAGTTCTGTGACTTTTCTTACCTTCCCCTGGTGACTCTTCGCAAAATTTTCAGTCTAGAAACATGACAGCATTTTCCTTCCCATTTTTTTCTATATTGTTCTATCAGTTGTGAAGAGGAACATAGAACTGGAAGCTGTATTTCACTAAATATTCCATAGATGTCCTGAACCAGCAGACACAACCTACAAAGGGTATGTAAATGTCATCTCATTAGCAACACGCTTTTTCTACATCTCGATCATCTCAGGTTTTTTTGAAAAAAAAATTTAGCAGAGAAATTTTACTTTTACTTTAAGACTTCCTAAATTCTAATGTAATTGAAATACTTAGCAATTGGTAATCAAGAGCTTTATTAAGTACTGATATATCAGTTTTTAAAACGACAACTAAGTACACTAAGAAATTTTCAGCAATGATTTACATGAATCTCAGCTATTATGGCCAATGACAAAAGATTTGGAAAATTGTAAAGTACAACACGATGTCACCTGCCTAATTGCGTTGCTCTGGATGTCAAATTTAAGAGAAGCAACAAAAACAGAGTAGTAGAGAAATTCTTAGCTTGAAAATTCAGATAAATTGGGCCTAATATACTAAGCAGATCAGACTCCTATTCAATAGTATCTTCTCATAACTTATTTTGTAGATTTATGTTCTACTACCAATTTCTTTTTAACGTTTACATTAAAGCCACCAAAAAAAATGATTTAAGATACCTAACTAAGGTTACCCGCAATGTCACAAATAAGCAGGTAACAAGCAAGTGTTACTTATATTACATGTAAATCAGATTAAATTTAGGAGCAATACAAATATGTTGACATAATCAGTAAGAAGCTCATCTGATCACATTGTCTCTTAGAGGTGAGACCGCATTTCTCAAAAACATAATGATATTAAATTTGGTCACCACAATAAATGCCTTTTCCCTAGGTCCCATTCATCACCAATGGATTCCACCAATGGATGGAAACTAGTGATGAAGGTGTGAATCAACCTAGAACTAAGGAGAAATTTCCTGACAGTTAGAACAATTAATCTGTGGAACAACTTGCCTCCAGAAGTTGAGGATGTCCAACACTGGAAATATTTAAGAGGTTGGAAAATGATATAGGGTTTTCTGCCTGAGCAGAGGGTTGGACTGGAAGACCTTCAAGATCCCTTCCCTTCTGTTATTCTGTTCTGTTATCAACACAACTTAAAGCAGTGTCTAGACTACTGCAGACTGAGATGATCTGGCCTCATGTTAGAAATGCATCTTATTTTGAAATATACTTAGAAAAATAATTAGGTGCAAAGTGCAACTATCAGAAACTAAATGTGCTGATCAAATTTTTATGCTTCGAAATCTTTCAACTATTTTATTTATAATAAAAATTTAACAGGCTGTTATTTTTTAACCTTTTAAAGATTTAATATATTGGTTTCCAGGCATCTAAATACACCAAATGCAGCTCATATACAGGTAAGGCCTTCACATAACCATCTGCTTAATAATGGTTCAAGGTTACAATGACCTCAGAAAAAGTGATATACAACCTGTCTTCACAATTCTGTCATACCACCTGCATATTCACAAGATTGCAATTTGGGTGCTTGGCAACGGGCTCCCAGCTACAATTTCTGCAGTCGCGTGATCACAATTTAGGACCTTTCCAGCTGGGGGAAAAACATCAAATGGGGGAACTGGATTTGCTTACTGACTGCAATTTGCTTAATAACCGCAATGATTTGCTTTATGATCACAGAAAAAATGGCTGTAAAATTGGGTCTGGTCATGTGATCACTTGATTTACCACTGTACTGATTTACAACAGAAATTATTTTTATCGGCCAATTTTAACTAAGAATTTATTTAAGTGCTCTTCACCTATTGCTTTTTAATCAGTTTTAGTGTCTATAATTCATTAATAATCATTTGTAATTTCTTCTTTTTCTGCGAGCTCTTTTAGGCAATTTGTAGTCCCTGGAGATACTTGAACTCATAATTCTTATTTACAATAATTACTACTTCCTAAACTGTCATATATCAGTTTCTCCATATGAGTGCTCTCTACATATATTGGGACTTTGACTGTCAGAATTCCCTCCTACGCAATCCTACAGCTGAAATATTTCCCTTCAACCCCCCAAAAGAAAGAAATTTGAATAAATAAAAAAAAAAAAACTCTTGTGCAGAATCAATTCATTAGTTCTAAGCAACTATTCTTTTTCTCAATTCCCCAAGGATGGGCTCCAGCATGGATCCGAAAACTCAGAAGACTAAACCTCTGGTCGTGGTAACCAACCCAGATTGGATGTTGAAACATTATCCTGGGACAAGTATATCTGCCTTCAGATATATCTGCTTTGTGAAAAAGCTATTTGCTTATTGCTGAACATAAAAACAGGTGGAAAATTGTCCAGGGGTAAAACTGATATTCTCTACAATTACCACTTCAAAACCATATGCAGATGCCCAAACACAAAGAGAGACTGTTAGGTGTGTAGTTAAGGAGAGTACATAAAACTGAGGGTGTGAGAAAAGACAGGTAAACAAGATACTCAAGACACATGATTCACTGGGAGGAGCGAAGAGGCAGAGGCTATCTGAGATGACAGAGATTAGACTATTCCCCCCCCCCAAAATCTCTGACCTGATTTTCCTTGTAACAATAAATCTATGTGCCTATTGAAGGAAATTGTACAAGTGAATGCTTGAAGAAAACAACAAATAAACCCTTTCATATCTGGCATGCTAGACTAGGTCTCTTCTTAACATTTCTTATGCTTGCAATAGTTTTGTTTTGTTTCGATATGGAAGGTTATTGTTCCTGAAGTATCAGAAATAGGTAGATGCAAGTGTATCAAGTACAGTGAGTAGTTTGGAGCAAACAATAAAAATCCCATTTCAAAGCTTGGGAATATTCTGTTAATTCCCTAAAAGAGCTGGAGGCAGGGGAGCGAGAAGGTGAGGCCAATTACTTTTCACTATTTTTTTAAGATTGTGTTGGTAATGCTTATATTTATTCATTTCCCACTGTTTATATGGAAATGCTATCATGCCATCATACCCACTCCTAATTAGTCATCATTCTTGGGAAAGATAGAAAATTACTTTTTTCATCAGTAATTATACACATATGCCCTGAAACTTGGAAATGAGGTTGGTGGTTTTTTTTTACGATTTTCACTGTTCCAAAGGATTAAGGCTGAAATGCATTCCATAAAGTAAACAGTTTTTTTTAATGCTTTTCTGAAGATATCAGTATAACAGAAAGACCCAAAGAAATAGAAAATTTGGTATTTGTAGTAACATTTTCAAATAGGTATTGTAAAAGCAAAAATACAGAACTAAATACATTTAATAAACAGAAAGGAAATAGCTGTTCAGTCTTCTGTTAGCTTTCTGAGTTAATGAAAGTAGTGAGAAGGGGAAAAAGAAAAGCGGAAGTTGGTGAAAAAATGAGAGTACAGTCCATATTTCCTGTGATCAATGAAGACATTTGCTCTTCCAAAATGCAGTGAACTTGGCAATTATACTTGCCCCCTGAAGGAAAACCTATCTCTAGGTGCATCCTAGCAAGGGACAAAGCATGAAGCAGCACATGCACTCTTAGCAAGACCTCTTTGTGTTCCACTCTTTTAATCAAAACAAGCACAAGGTTGCCCACAGAGTTCCAATCTAACAACTTGTCTGGTCAAGTCTTGAGGTGGAGCTCAAGTAGCTTCTACTGGTGTGGCTTAGAATCAAACAGCAACCCTCAAGGCTCCACCCAATGTGGATTTAATTTATCTGAACTTTTCTAATACAAACAAAAGCCCTCCACCAACGGCACACGTTATCTAGAGTGCAATCAGAATCAGGCAATCAGATATGCAGGCACTGAAAAATAAAAATAAAGAGCCTGTAATACAAGAATTCTAAAAGTAATTCTTCTGCAAAGAAACTTCATATTAGGTCTAATATCTTTCTTATCAGTTCTAGAATATTCTCACACCTCCATAGAATGTTTTGGCTGTTGTGTGTGCTTTCATAATTTATTTTGATAAGAATAAACACATGTAACACAAATCCACATTAACTAAAATCTGAATAATATTAATCAGAATTACAACCAACTTAAAAATATATTTGTTATAGAGAAGTTTTCTCATCTAAAGGAATGTAAAATTCTTTTTTTTTTAAATGTTTTATTGTAAGAAATTATAATAATACAATTTTATCCATCCAGTTACATAGTATGGAAAAAGAAATAAATACAAATTGTACATATTATACATAAGTAGATAATCATTGCAAACCAGTTACATGGTAAAAAACAAAAAAAAAATTTTTTGTTCACATATCATTTTTAGCATATGTATATGTGATAATCTTTAACAATAAATTAGTAAATACATAAATTATGTCTTTTGCTTACCCATGTAACCTTTCCTTGCCTTATTATATTTCCTACCATCCACAGTACATCTTCTCTTACTATTTCATTTTTCTATTTCTTGTACTTGCTCTGGTCTCTTTCCTTTTTATTTCAATTTCCTCTTCTCTAACCACCCATACCACTTATCCCATATGCTGTAATAATCCGAATCTTCTCTGTCATTAATTTCTAATGTTAATTTATTCATCTCGGCACATTCCATTATTTTGCCGATTACTTGTCCCTTAGTTGGTATAATGTAAAATTCTTTATGACAGACAAGAAATTTATTTATTTTTATTTCTGGGAATAAAGGCAAAATCCCATTTTGAAGGAAGTACATCAGCTTTGACGGAATAAGCACTAAAATCTAAGCTAGAATTTACCAAGCAGCTGGTGTTTTTGAAAACAAGTTTTGGGAATTTTTTGTTTTGTTTTGCTGAAATCAGCACCATTTTTATTATGCATTCCTAAATACACGTGACTGAATTCAAGTCCCTCTGAATTCTATGAGGCTTACATCAAAGTATATACAGAACTGAATTTTTGATATTGTGCAAAATCTATCAAGAAATCACAACTTCTGAAACTTTATGTTCCTTTTGAGTGTCTTTCCATTTGTACAGCTTTATTTGTTAGTTCAGCTTCACATAACATTGTGTCATAACTCTTGACTAGGAACACTGTTAATGCAGTGGATTTGAAGGGCTTTTCCATGACAAAAAAAGAAATATGGTTAATGTATGTTTAACTAAAATTAAGTGAATTTTCTTCAAAAT